TAAAGATATAGGGAGGTCCTGGGAGAAGCTGAAAGGGGGTGAGGCCATGCTCTCAATGGCTCTTCTGAGGAAGGTGGGGAGTGAGCATGAGTTTGGAGGTGAGTGTGTGGGTGCATCAGACCCGATCCAGCCGGAGGAGAAGAACCACTGGCAGACGTAGACAAAGAGACTTGGCCATATGCAATCATGGGAGCTGACTACACGGTCTCTGTAAGGCTGTTGTCACTTGCGTGTCTGATGTAGGAGCTTGCAGTCCATGGGGCAGGCGGTCAGGAATTGAAGATGGATGGAAAGATGGGGAGAGTGAGGGAAGGGTGGGCCCCACAAGCATGAGTGAGAATTGTACCCACGTTAGTTCTTGTTGCCACTCACCTCGATGGCGTGGGCCTCCCTTGGAAGCCCAGGATATTTGTCAAGGACCTAAACACGTACACCTGGCTCAGGCGTCAGAGACCCTGAAGGTGGGAAGGGGAAGGTGGAGTATTTGCAGGTCCAGCTGCTGTTCCCAACAACAAGGTGAGTCAGCAGATTAGCAACGTGTGTGCGTCTGTGCGTGTATGTGTGCGTGTGCAGGCAAGGATTTACAGCTGTGGACATGTAACAGCATAAAAGACACTGTCTCATTCCTTACCCCATTCAGCCCTCACAACAGTCCTGTGAAGTTGGAAGTGTAATTGTTTCCAATTTACAGGTGAGTCAAATGAGATTCTGGAAGGAAGGTGGCTTGCTCATTTATCCAGGGAGAGATGGAGTTGAGACTGCTTTAGGTCAGCCAGTTTTCATTCACATGAACCCTGCAGTGGAAGTGCCGAGTCTTAACCGCAGGACTGCCAGGGAAGTCCCTAGGACAGGTTTTGAATTCTAATTCCTGCAGTTTCCCTACAATCTGTGGTTGCTCAAGTTGGCTCTTGGTCTATTAGGGATAAGAAAGAGATCGATGAACATATAATTTACACATGACAATAGTTTTTAATAGAAATCTTGGCCTTTTCTTCTTTGTGGATTATTTTGGTAACATCAGCAGTTCAGTAGGCATGTATATGAAATAGGTTAGCTTTTTAAGAAAATGGAGTGGAAGTGTTAAGGTATATTGTATTTATCTTTGATTTCTTTTGATTTTAGTTGGTCAGAAATTGCTTTTAGTGAAAATGAGAATCTTTGGCTTATTTCAACTCTTGAAAAATGAATGTGGGGATGCTGAAAAGAGTATTTTATTGATTTATTTATGTAATTGACATATAACATTAGTTTCAGGTGTACAACATACTGTTTCAATATTTGTATATGTTGCAAAATGATCACCACAGTAAGTCTAGTGAACAGTGTTTTAAAATATAAGGTCAGTCCTAGTTTCTTCCAACTAGTCAGTGATATGGAAAAGGAAAAGAACTATGCAAACTGCATTCTCTAGAAGCAGGTACTGGGACACAGTTTGGGTGCAAGGTGATTAATAAGGGTCGACACCTGTAAAGGAAGGGGCTGGGACGCAGGGCAGAAGGAGAGGGCCCACGTAGCAGGCCTAGCAAAGCCTTGGTCAATCCAGTGGGTCTCTCTGGAGCAAATGTTGTCCATCAGAGCTGTCTGTCCTGTGTCAGGCCAGGAAGTTGGGCCTTTCTACCCTGCCTTGACTGTGGGCTACTTGGGGAGGGTGTTTACCATGGGTGAAGAGGCTTTTGGAATCGACCTCATGCTGTGCAGCTGGGCTGCAGGTTCTCCTTGAGGGGATCTGGGTGGTGCACCTCCATGGCTGCTGCAAGACCTGTTACACATTAAAAAAGACTTAAGGGGGCTTCCCTGGTGGCGCAGTGGTTGAGAGTCAGCCTGCTGATGCAGGGGACGCGGGTTTGTGCCCCGGTCCGGGAGGATCCCACATGCCGCGGAGCGGCTGGGCCCGTGAGCCATGGCCGCTGAGCCTGCGCGTCCGGAGCCTGTGCTCCGCGACTGTAGAGGCCACAACAGTGACAGGCCCGTGTACCGCAAAAAAAAAAAAAAAAAAAAGACTTAAGGAACATTAACCAAAGGCAGGGGATTCCTGATTCCAAGAAGCAACCATAAGAAGACATTTTTGAGACAATGGGGGAATATCGACTGGGTATCAAATGAATTAGGATCTATTATTAATTTTATTGGTTGTGATAATGATATTGTGGTTATGATAGAAAATGTCCTTATCTGTTAATGACATATCTTGAAGTATTAATGGTGGTATAATAAGATGTCTAGAAAAACAGTAACAGCAACACAAGTGGAAGGGTTACTGGTGAAACAAGAATACTAAATTGTTGATAACCATTAAAGCTAGAGATGGGCTCACACGGGTATTTTATAGCATTCTGTGTATATATTTGAAACTTTAAGCATAATAAAATTCTTTTTCTCTTGGTAAAAGAATTATAATAAATAGAGTGGGCATATGTTATTGGGTGTCTCATATTCTAGAGCTAGACATGAACCCAGAAAGAAGTCAAATTGAGTAACATGTTCATCTGCCCTGTTCAGGAAACAAAGCATCCTGCAATGTCAGCCCATAGCTTTCAGTGGAATTTGAGGATTTCCCTGAGTGAGGCCAATTGAATAACTGGGAAAGGAAAGATTGAAATAATAGGATGGCAGTAAGGCAGGGAGAAAGAAAACTACTTAATTCTGAGAGCATCCAGCCACAATACTAGGGGCTTTCCACACTTCATCTTATTTAATTCTCACAGTAATCACCCCATGCTATTGTTCAAGATTTCCCAGGATATGATTCTCATTTTGCAAATTAGAATATTAAGACTCAGAAATGTGGGAGCTCATCCAAGTGCTGGAGTTGGGATTCCAAGTCGGGTGGTGTCTGGTTTCTAGGCCCTTGCACTGGGCCACTGGGGCTCGGAATGGGTGACTTCTCAGGCTCCTGAGGCATCTGGCAGTGCCGCAGGAGTGCGAGCAAGAGAACCGTCATGTCTCAGGTCTCAGGTGAGCTCCCGTGATGGGCCGCCAAGTGAGGGGCCTTGGCTTTGCGCAGGAAAGAATTGAAGAGCCATAATGAAGTGGAAGCGAATTTATTTAGAGAGATACACTGGCCTGGGGTGTGGGGGTGGTTAGTGTTTACGGGCGGGGTAATTTCATAGGCTAACGAGTGGGAGGATTATTCCGACAATTTGAGGGAAGGGGCAGGGGTTTCCAGGAATTGGACCATCACCCACTTTTTGGCCTTTTACCGGTCGGCCTCGTAACTGTTTTGGCGCTGGTGGGTGTGTAACTTAGCATATGCTAATATATTACAATGCGCATATAATGAGGCTCAAGGTCTACAGGAAGTTGAATCTTCTGCCATCTTGGGCCGAGTTGGTTCTAACTAGGTTTTGTTGTATCCTCAAGAGCTGCGTCATTTGTTTAATGCTTGTGCCCTGCCCCCTTCCTTCCTGTCTCAGCAGGACCCCTGGGGCAGCAGATTCTCCCTTCTGGAAAATGCAGGAAGTACACATCCTCCCTTGGCTACCAGGCACTTGCCCAGACCTTCCAAAGGCCGGGCATCACCCTCTCTGCTCATGACATTCCTCCTGCCTTATTTCCCGAAACTAGAAAAATTAGATGAGAAGAGAGATACTACTCTGGATCCTAATCAGAAGAAGTTGTGAGGTTTCCCTCTCCCCCCGGAGCTTTTTCTGTTTCTTCTCTCATCTGCCCACCTTCAGGTAACGCCCTTTGTGATTTGTTGTCTGCCTGAAACCAATATCCTTTGGTCTTCCATGAAGATTGTCTAACAACTCTGGGAGAGGGTCATGGGAGAGTTATTTTAGAGTTGGCAGTGGATTCTTAGGACAGAGCCTGGAAACTGTGTTACAGGTCAGGAGGAGGAGACGATCCTTCCCTACATCCAGGTGTGGGATATGCAGTAGGGCCAACGAGAAAGAAAAATCAAGGAGGGCAAAATCGTTCAAGTCCACGCCAACGCCATTTGCAATGAGAAGGGATGGAGGCTGTGCAACTGAAGTGAGGGGGAAAGTGCATTTCTCCAGATGACAGCGGAACTGTGCAAACTCCCCGGGGTCTGTGTAAAAACAGGCTCTTCCCGAGTGGGCGAGGGGGCGGGGCGGGGCGCCGGCTCTGGGTCGACCTCGGGCGCTAGGACTCTGAAGCAAGTTGCGAGGTCTGTGCCTAAGTGGCTCCGTGTTTAACCTGATCAAATCAACACGGTTTATTACCAAGGCCTCAGTGTCGCATCAGAAGTTTTTTTTCTTTTTTGCTTATGGCCTTGGTTGGAGAAAGCATCAAGGAATCCAGGGAGGAGACCTTCAGTAATAAACTGACACTTAAAAGTGCTTTCAGATGATTTTGCTGAGTCACTGTGGTGCTGGGCATTAGGCTTTGAAATGCTGTTACATAGTCATGCGCATGCGCTGAGAGAGAACCTGCAGAACGATTTGCAACTGAGGTTTCGCTAAGGGTCAGTTTTCAGGATGTTTATATGAAAAACTTTCTACGCGATACTCTACCTGATCTGCTCTCACTTTGTCACAGCAATGTTTATCCCTCCCACACTGCTACCGATTTCCTGCTTCCCAACATTCCTCCAAAAAAGCTCCCTTTTCTTGCCCAGTGAGACAGGTAGGCAGTGATGCCAAAGCTGGAAGTTCCCAGCAGGAAGTGCTGACGCCCCACCTTGCTGATGCGGTTTCCGCTTCTCTTACGACATTAGCTCTTTGCTGCCCCCTGTGGGTGGAGGTTTCTTTCCCTTCCAGGCCCTTTAGTTCCCAGTCTCACCTGGGGATGCCGGACTCAACGAAGCAGAAGAGAGACCAAGCCAGTTTAAAGTCACAAACCACGTCCTCTGGTTACTGACTTTCGTCCGTTTTTGGTCTGTGGTTTTCTTCAGGTAGATTGAGTAGAGTCTTGTCCCTTCGCTGTTCCCTGGGGCAAGTCCAAGCAGACTGGCCTCAGCTTCTTTCTCCCAGCTTTAGATGTCAGAATCCCTCTCTTACTCTGTGTTTCCACGTTTTCCTTTCCTCCTCATTTAGTGACGCCGCACGGGCCAGGCTTGGTAAGTGGACCCGGCAAGAGGAAGATGAATAAAACGTGGTTCCCTGGTTTCAGCGGCTCACAGTGAGCTGGGGGAGACAGAAATGCAACTCATGGTGAGTGACTCTTCTCTCTGTTTTTTGTTTGTTTGTTTGTTTTCAGGGCGATGGCATCAGTTTTCTGGCTGAGTATGTTCCTGGACTGGGTCTAGTCAAATTGTATAGGTTATCAAGAAATGTTAGTGGTCGTTATTATTATTATTATCGTGCCCCATGTCAAAAGTTTTTAAATGCCTCTAACTCGCGGAGTCCTTGGTTACCAGTAAAATGTGTGTAGGGAACAGGAACCTTAAGGAAAATTGTAAAGTTATTTTTAGATATTTCTGATTTTATTTTAGTTTTTGTTATTTTTGTGTTATTAAAAAACAACCCCCCTCCTGGATTAATTTGAAGCAAATCTCAGATATTATATATATTTCACATGAAAATGTATATTTATAAATATTTATAAATGTAGATATATTTAAATATATATAAATATTTCAGTATGTATTTCTGAAAGCTAAGGACTTTTTTTTTACATCTTTATTGGAGTATAATTGCTTTACAATGGTGTGTTAATTTCTGCTTTATAACAAAGTGAATCAGTTATACATATGTTCCCATATCTCTTCCCTCTGGCGTCTCCCTCACTCCCACCCTCCCTATCCCACCCATCTAGGTGGTCCCAAAGCACCGAGCTGATCTCCCTGTGCTATGCGGCTGTTTCCCACTAGCTATCTATTTTACGTTTGGTAGTGTATATATGTCCATGCCACTCTCTCGCTTTGTCACAAGCTAAGGACTCTTTAAAAAGTAACCACAATACCATTATTACACCGAAAAATGTAGCAGCAATTCCTTAATGTTGTCAAATATCCAGTCAGGTTTCACTGATTTTATCATCAGCTTTTAATTTCATGGTTGGTGTGTTTGACTCGGGATCTTTTGATAAGTCCATATGTTGAGGTTCCTCTTAAATCTTTTTTTATCTACAGGTTTCCCCTCATGTTATTTTTCCCCGCAATTTACTTGTTGAAGAAACTGAGTAATTTATCCAAGAGGGTTTTTCATAGCCTGGATTTTGCCAGTTGCTTCCCCTTGATTTTTAATATGTTCCTCTGTTATGTGTAGTTACATAAAACCGATAGAGCTAAAGGTTTAGGCTTGAGTTTAGAGTAGAAATGCCTCATAAGTGGTGGTGTGTACACTTCTATCTGGAGACACAGAATGCTCGCTTCTTTCTGTTTGTGACGTGAGTGGCCCTTCATGGCTATTACCTTGACCCAATTTAGCTTGTTAGAGGTTGCTAAATGGTAATATTTTAATTCTATCATCGTTTCTTATGGCTTTGCTGGAATACTTTTCATAAAGAGAAGCTTCTGTCATTTGGTTACCCTGAAATGCACTTTGTATGGGAAAGTAAAGTAAAGGCTTGATTCTTTTCCTTTATTAATAGGTTTTAATGAATTTAAATACTGTGAAGATTTCAGAGGCTATAGTCTTCCTCACCCCTCTCGTTTTTCCTTTCCTTTGGTTACTCTGAAATCTAGAATTTCTCTCATTCATATTCTCTCTCTCTCTCTTTCACCCAACTTTGTGGAGCTTTGGAGAAAGAATTGCAGACTCATTCACACTAAAGTACAAATGTCTAATAACAACTTATAGTATGACTATTTCAGAGAGATTTTCTGTTGAACTTGCATCAATGTCTTAAATTAGAGAAATGAAAAGAAGCTTCCTGGATAAGAATAGCATTTGTATGCACTTACTGTTCTGTGTCAGCTGCTCTAGTAAATGACTTACATGTGTTGTAAGGTGTTCATGTTACCCCCATTTTACAGATGTGAAGAACAAGGCTCAGGTTGTTTAGGCTCAGCTAAAAAGTGGCAGAGGTGAAACTAAAACCTGGGCTGTCTGGCTACAGAGCCAGAGTATTGAATCTGCCTTTTCGATACAATTTCAGGCATCTTGAACAGGAGGAGAAGGGGATGAGGGAGAGAAGGGCTTCCCAAGCTTGAAATCATCAACCTGACAGACCCAAGTTATTCGTTGTGTCGATGTGTAAGGCAGAGCCTGGCAATCACCCACAAAAACAAAGATTTGCCCCCAGGAGTGTTAACTGTGGAATGGTTCTCTGCCTCTGCCGCAGTAGTGATGATACCTCTGCCCCGTCGGGATCCTGTCTACTTTTCTGGCTTCTCCTCCATCTTGTTCACTTGGGCCAGCCCCAGTGGCCTTTCTCTTGTTCCTCAAACACGCCAACCTCCTTTCAGTCTCAGGGATTTGCATCTACTGTTTCCCTGGATCTTTACATGCCCGGCTTCTCCTTGACATTTAGGTCTCAGCTTAAATGTCAGTCTTGCAGAGACACTTTCCCTGACCATCCTCTCTAAAGAAGCCACCTCCTACCCCCCAATCACCCTCTCTTTCTCAGTTCTCAGTGTCTTTTCTAGCCCTTATTACCACTTGAAAGTATCTTCCATCTTTGGCTACCAGAATGTAGGGGGAACATGGCCAGTTTTGTCCACGGCTGGGACTCTGGAGCCTGGCACATGGTAAGCACTCAGAAAGCCTTTGTTGAACACATGAGTCGGTTCAGGCATCCTTTGCTCGTTGCCTTCTACATGGAGGCCTCACCAGCCCAAATCCATCACCACTGGTTCCAATTAATCACCAGAACTGCCACAGCTGTTACGATCTACGCTTCCATCTAGAAAGTCAAAGGCTTCTGCCTTTTGTGTTTATACCCAAAGCTTAACAAAAATGGTCAGATTTCGTTCCAGTTATGAATTAGGCTGAGGTCAAGATGATTCATATTTTAACTGAAACCTGTTTGCTCAAGCTTGTCTGTTTCCTCTGACATAGATGGTGCTGGGAAGAGGAAAGAGGTAGGGGAGCATGTTTTTAGGCCATGTTTCATAGCAGATCCATCTCACTCCTCAGTTTTGAAACGTGGCATCTGTCTTAGTCGGCTTGGGTTGCTCTAACAAAATACCTAGACTGGTGGCTTACATAACAGACATTTACTTCTCATAGTTCTGGAGGCTAGAAGTCCAAGATCAAGGTTCTGGCAGATTCAGTTCCTGGTGGGAGCTGTCTTCTTGCTGTGTCCTCACAAGGCAGAGAGCGAGAGAAGGAGCTCTGGACTCTCTTCCTCTTCTTACAAGGCAGGTAACCCCATCATGCGGGTCCCACCCTCATGACCTCATCTAAGCCTGATTACCCCTCAAAGACCTCACTTCCAAATACTATGACGTTCAACATATGAATGTTGGGGGGATACAAGCATTCAGCTCATGGTAGCATCTCTCGAATTCTCCCTTCTTGATGTGAACCTTGAATGCCTCTAGGCGAAAGAAAATGATGACAGAAATGGAAGCATCTCAGACACTCTTCCAAAGTTGGATGGCAAAAGCTCTTGATGGTCCATGAAAATAAATTGGAAGCTGATGGGTTTGCTCAGTTAACCAGTGGCTTAGGAGACAGTTCACAGGGCAGTGCAAAATGCAGTCCTAGATACACCTGTATCAGAATCACCTGGCAGGGGGAGGGGTGTTTAAATGCCAATTAGTAAACCACAGAGCTGCTGAATCAACATCTTGGGGGATGGGGCTTGCGGGCCACGTTTTGACAGGTACTCAGGTGTGTCTTACGTTCCCTAAAGTTTGAGAACCACTGTTGTTAGAAGTGAGGTTGTACTTTATCACAACCTACTTATCCCGAGGAGCCTGAGGTAAGTCGCCTCGATCACGATGCCATTTCATGCTAGGGTTTTTGCTTCTGGCCCGCTTACTTTCTATGTCACAGGGGTGTGAAAAGTGAGACTTCCTGACCAACAAAAGATGTCTCCAAACATTGCTAGAAGCCTCCCCTGTCAAGAACCTCCTTTGCTTTTTTAGATGCTGCCTTTATTTTATTTATTTATTTATTATTATTATTATGTTGGCCATGCTGAGCCACTTGCAGGATCTTAGTTCCCTGACCAGGGATCGAACCCAGGCCCCCTGCAGTGGAAGCACAGAGTCCTAACCACTGGACCGCTACGGAAGCCCCCAAATGCTGCCTTTCTATTTCTTACCGGAGGAAAGGCATAGTTTATCCTCACCTAGATGTAAACATTGTTTAATATTCAAAGTAATAATTGGACTCAGACATCTCTCTCCCGTTTCTTCTTGTCTGTATGGGTCTTTCTCTGAAAGATTCTCCCCCGACCACTAATTTCTCTTTATTATTTTCCCCCTGCTGCTCTGAACCGTCTTGATCCTTCAAGAGCAAATTCAAGTCTGTCTTCGTCCGCTAAACTCCCGCCTAAGTCAGGCTTTTTTCCTCCCTTGAATTCCCAAAGTTGTTGTACCACATTGCTTAGGACTTAATTGTGTTCTCCTGTGGTGTAAATTTGAAGACAAAGAGCTTGAAGGTACTTTTGTTGAGTACTTGGTAAACACCTGATAAGGGCAGGTTGATTGGCTGGTTGATTGGATCGTTAGGTGAACATTGCAGAACAATGGGGAGGGATGCAGCTGAGTTGAGCTCATGAAGGAGGGAAATTCAAAAGGAAACATTAGGAAGTTTCTGGTATATATTTATACTACTGATGGGAGGATGGATTTTTTGGCAGCTGTAGACTTATTAGTCTACCTAATATGTTTAAAAACAGGTCTTACCTAGAAACGTAAATCTTTATGCCTTTATTTCCTCAAGTTTAGTAGTGAGGCAATACCAATGTGTATTTATAAAAGTATGTTTTTTTAGGCATAAATGAAGCAGGGCTTTTTAGAAAACTTTAGAAAGGAACTGAAAATTAATTCCTGTTTCATAAATAAGGTTATATACATTTTCTTGTTCCATCCTAAAAAGGTTTAAACAGTTCTCTGCAAAATTCTGTCCAGATATATTTCTTTGGAGCTAATGAAAGTGAGATCTAATTTTCACCTTATGTTTAATGTTGCTGAGGGCTGACTAGAGAAGTTACTGGTAACTACTTTTTTATAAATTAATTTTTATTGGAGTATAGTTGATTTACAATGCTGTGTTGCTGGGAACTACTTTGAATGTAAGACGTGCCTTTTTGTCTG